CTTTGGAAGATTTTGCCTTTTCTCCCATCAATATTTACAGTGACAGCCCCTATGTAATGAGAGTAATGCAAGCCTTGGAGACAGCCTATGTTTGTTGGACTGGGATCCAGGCATAGCATCTTTTCCATTGGACTCAGAAACTCTTGCATCAGCACGAGAGTTCTTGCTGCACTGGTCATATTAATGGGCACCCGGGTCTCCCTGACCACTGGCTGACAGCAATACACAAGGCAATGCCTTGCCTTGAGGACTGTTCTGCTTCTCTGCCACTATGCACTCCACTGTAGCCCTGTACCATCAAAAATCCCTCCTTTTTTAAAATGTTCTCCTGAGAACAGGCTATGCAAATAGTTAAGCAATGCGCCCACTGCTGGCCTCTCCACAGAGCCTTGAGACAGACTGTGCACATGCCTTAGCTCTTGTGCATTTCAAAATTTTTGTGCCCGGCATACAATAGCTCATGACACAGGCATTCCTTACAACCCACAAGGACAGGCTTGCAGAGAAATGGTCCATGGATGTTTCAAACAATAATTAGGAAAGCTAAAGGGGGAAGAAATTCCTATCCCTCCCAGTTCTTTAAACAAGGCCTTATTTACAGTAAATTTCTTAAGCCACACAGAGGACAGTCTCACTGCTTCAGAACAACACTGGCTGTCAAGGGACAAGAGCAAAATCTATGAAGAAAAATGGTCTGGCTCATGCCTCATCCTGTTGTTGGAGTGAGGAGATGCTTCTGTTTTTCCCAAAGGCTTGGAACAGCCACATAGGGTACCTCCCAAGCCCATAAATATTCATGGGTCCAGTGAAGAGGCTGAGAGTGAGGTTCACAGGGGAACCTAAAGCTCGTAGAGCAGTCTCAGGGGAGGAAGATTCCTGCAAGAACCACAGGAAAGAAGATGTCACCAACAATTGTCAGAGGAGGGACAATAAAGCCTGGGAATGGGAAATATCCAGCAGCCATATTTCTGATGTGACTCGTAATTATATTCGCCCTACTTAATTTTCTACTGATGTGACAAAATCCCACAACCAAGGCAACTTAAAGAAGAAAGAGTTGGTTGGATGGGGTTACTTATAATTTCTACAGATGGGTCCACCAGCATCATAATGGAAAGCCCATGGCAGCAGGCAGCCAGACGGGTCGCTGGAGCAGCAGCTGAGGGCTTACATACCTAGCTTCAGGTAGGGGACATGAGTGCAGGCAGGGGTGTTGCTAATTGGGAATGGTGTGGGCTTTGGAAACTACAAATCCCACTTCAAGGGAAACACGTCCTCCAATAAGGTCACACCTCCTAATCCTTCCTAATGAGTTCTAACAACTGGGGGCCAAGTATTCAAATGTATAAGTGTGTGGGCACATTTTTCTTCAAACCACCACAACAATGTCAGAGAAATAATCATGGGACAAGGTTTGAGAAGCAGTCATGGAAGTATAGATGGGTGCCAGGTTCTAGCTCAGCAATAGAATGTTTACCATGCACACAGGAGGCTCTGGGCCCAGTCCCTGTTTGAGCATTGCACATGTACTGTCAGTGATTATATGCAATATTCTTGTGAGAAAAAGCCTGGAAAGCAATGGCCAGTCTCAAGTCACACCTCAGTTGTTGATGACTGACAGGGACAATTCTTGGTTTGGAAATTAGACGACCACTAAACACCAAGTTACCCAAAGGGTCACATAACTTTTATAGGCTTTGGAAGATGAAATCATAGAAAATTAAATTCATAAATGCAGCAACCTTGTATTGTGGGTTTCAACTCTGATCCTGAGAGTATTTCATGTGTTATAATATGTATGCACATAATCCCGGAGGTAAGGTGGAAGCTACACACAGTATTCTATAAGGACTACATAGTAAGTCTGCAGACTCTGTTTCATATCATGTAAACCGAGGTTTTTACAGAGTCCAGTTTGTGGAAAGTGATGTAAGGGAAAGACAAGTTGGAAGACACTTAGCCCTGTTCCAGAATAAAGTCCTGAAACATTACAGTTTTGTTATATTTTAAAACTTGAATATGTCCAGGTGGTGGTGGCACATGCCTTTGATCCCAGCACTTGGGAGCAGAGACAGGTGGATCTCTGTGAGTTCAAGGCCAGTCTGGTCTACAGAGTGAGTTCCAGGACAGCCTCCAAAGCTCCAGAGAATCGCTGTGTGGAAAAGCAAATAAACAAACAAAAACTAAAAACAAAACAAAACAAACAAAAAACAAAATAACAATAAAACTTGAATATGAAAAAAGTGGGAAGATAAAGTCCTCAATGGCACTCAACTGTATTGTAGCATATGAAGGAAATTTGGCGAAGTGGATGAGAAATACCGGAAGACAAGATCGTTTCCACAGATCATTATCTCATCGTCAGCACTTTTCCCTGCACACCTCCACATGGGGGAAGAATTAGCGGCCTTTCCCACCTTCACTCAGAAGTCCAGGTTCCCTATCCCACCCACCCACCCACCCCATCCCAATCTCCAGCCCCGTGCAGTGGGTGGCCTTTAAACTACATCTCCCATAAAGCTGTGCAAGGACGGTGGCCCTCCACCGGAAGTCCTGAAAGCTACCTCCAGGGCTGGGAGCAGTGAGAGCTGAGTTTGCCCACGGAGTCCTGGGTCGCGGTCGCGGTTTCTCTGCTGGCACTTGGGTTAGTAGCCCCAGCGGCGGCGTCATTGGGCCTCGAGACCATCCAGGGCGTGCTGTCCCTGGGCGTCCCTCGCGGTTTGGTGGTGCAGCCTGGCAGGGGCTTAGAGGGCGCAGGCGCGGGACGCGGACCTGGTGCAGCCTGTGGGCTGTGGCTGCTAGAATTTCCAGCCAAGTTTCCCATGGGGTAAAGCAAAGTACCTCGGATGCGTCTCTCCTTGAGAGAAGGACTCGTGCAGTAGAAGAAACAATCCCTGCCCAAGGCGTGTGGCCGAATGGAGAGACCTGCCTGCGCGGGTTGCTCTCAGAGGTTGAACTGGCTTTGACAGCCCAGCGAGTGCCATTTCTTAAATGATGGCTGGGGGCTTAGTTGATAGGTTCACTCTGAGGCCTTGTTCTATCCTGCTAGAGCCATGCTGGGCAGGCCCAGGGCCCCCCGGGTTACTTATTAGTAAAACTGGATGTTTGTTTGGTTAAAATCTAGTTCCTTTAAAACTCAAGTCTCTTCTGATTGACCTCTGGGAATGACATGGGGAAGCAGGAGCAAGGCTTTTATCCTGCCCCGCCAGCCTTGCCTTTCCACAGCGCCCAGTTAGAAATGGTTTACAGGCATTGCAGGTAGTGCAGCCCCTTCCCTGGAAGGCGTCCTGGTGGTATTTCTAAATGACTTTTGTATTGAGAAAGGTAAAGGACAGGGGACTTTTTTTTTTTTTTTTAACTTCTTAGTCCAGAGAATGTTTGTGCATACATATTGCATCGATGGCAGTGTATGGCACGACATTTTTGTGTGACCAGTGTTGCAGTCACCCCGTAGTGATCTGAGAGGACAGTGAATGAGTAACCATGAACTCTGGAACCATGACCTCTGAACAGGGAATAGTGAAGCATTCAAAGTAAACTTCCTTGGAGAAACTGTGCAACGGGAGCGTGGGAATGTGATTTAAGAGAAAGGGACATTGGAAGACACTTAGCAGGGCTTCATGTTAAGTCCTTGAATGTTACAGCCATGGCCACGATATTTTAAAGTATTTTTAAACTTCAGTATGAAAACAAGTGGGAAAATAAGTAAAATAAATAAGATCAAAGAAAATTGATAGATGTAGCAGTTACTCCTGGTTTCACTGCGTACAAATTTTAAAACAAGTTTCTTGAGTTAGTCTGGGGAGTTTTAAGCTATTTATACTAAGTATTTAATTTTTTTATTTTATTTACTTATTTATTTATTTTTATTTGCATTCCGACCTCTGTTCTTCCTCTCAACTTAGTGTGCCAGGATTTGTTGACTCCCCTTGGAGGTGGTACCCTTTGGGAGGAGTGGATGGGGGTGGGCTGGTGGGAGAGAGAGCTGTGGTTGGAATGTAAAATGAAATTAAACTATGTATGAATAACAGAAGACACAAGCAGGAAAGCAGATGCCAAATCAGAAAGTTGATCTTTGACCCAGTATTTTCCTCAACTCAGTACCAACTACACTGCAGGTTTAACTAGCCGGATCGCTATTTCAAAATCCAAAGGATAAGGCTTGCAGCAGAACTAGGAAGCAAGACTAGTTTGTAGCTAACGGATAGTTGAAACACAAACCATTTTTTTTTTTTTTAATCTGTAGGGGTTTTTTTAGCACAACTCTGGACAACAAATTTAAGATCCATGACTTTGCTTTGTTTACAACAAAACAATACCAGGGCAGTGAAGGGTAAACATTTTAAAAACTGCTTCAAGGACTATAGAGTAGCCAACAAAAACTCTACCCAACAATAGGTACGAAACCGCATTGTCATCTAATCTGTGACAAGGATAACATTGCAGTGCAAAGAGACAACGATAATTTCAAGAATGGTGCTGAGTCATGAATTATCCACAGATGAAAATAAATCCTGACCCAGTCTACCCCGCATCATGAACAAACCTCAGTACCATATGGACCGCAACATTAATTATGGAAGGTTAACCAGTAAATTGTTTTTATGTGAAGGTTTTAAAGCTCCTGAATAACTGTAGAGCCATAATTTTTGAGAGGTGACATCTATGACATAGCATAGGATACTGCTTATCATCTGCTGAAACATCTGCCTCTAATGTCACCTGCTTTAACCCTGTCCCTGCCATGCCCCTGCTATGTTCATCCGTATCTCAGATGCCCACTCGTTTTTGTGTTGTTACCGCCCCTCTACTGTCCCAAGCTCCAAATCTCTGAGATCCTACTCCCAGACGCATAAATGGAATTATAATTCTCAACTGGTAACAGTTTTGAAGTCTATATGGCAGTAGCGGTTGACATGAGTTATCTTTTGACTGGTGTATTACTTTGGAAACCTACTGTTCTTAAATAATATTCATCCATCCAAGCCAAAAAAAAAAAAAAAAAAAAAGCAACTGCAAATAAGGCTTTTCTTGTTTTGTTTGTCTTTGTTTTAAGGAAGAAATGTCATCCGCAAAAAGAAGTCTAAAACGGGAAATAATTTCTGAACTCCACTGTTCCGCTGCAGAAGGAGATGTTGCCAGGTTGGCAGGGATACTCAGTCATTCTCCATCCCTGCTCAACGCAGCCTCTGAAAATGGCTGGACTGCCTTAATGTATGCGGCAAGGAATGGGCATCCTGATGTTGTCCAGCTTCTGCTTGACAAAGGGTAAACACCTTAGGGCTGTACCACCTAAAGGGTGTGTGCTTTAATTTCTGCTGTCTTGTCATTTCACCTTGTCCTGTAGACAGCTTTATATCGATGGGCTAGGGAATAGCTCAATGCTCAGATTTTTGTTTGTTTGCTTTGGGTCAGTGTTAGGAATTAAGACACAAGTCTTCCTGCGAGTCAGGCAAGCTCTCTAACTCTGAGCTACATTTGGAAAACAATTTAGAGAATAATTTCTTAATTGAGAAGTTAACCCTTCATACTTTGTCAGAAAGAATGTCTGTAAGGAGTTTAATGCCTTTCTTCTAAATAAAAAGTGTAATTCTCATTATGGCTACCATGGAGTATATAGAATGTTTGCATTTCTTTATGGCATAGAGAGACACATTTTTCATTTTATCCAAATGTCTATTATCATTAACCTTTCGTTTCTTACAACTGTTACATGATTCTTTTAACCTTCAGTAGTGAACTACGAACCAAATGATGAAAAAGAAAAAAACGCACATTAAAAAGTGGGGCTAAATATGTATTTTACTAAAATAAATACAAGAGAAAAAATTGTACTTCTCATTTTATTTCTCTTGCCATTTGTTTCCTTCTGTCTAGATGTGACAGGTCACTTGTCAATAAATCAAGGCAAACTGCGCTGGATATCGCTGTATTTTGGGGTTATAAGCACATAGCTAACATGTTAGCTAATGCAAAAGGCGGGAAGAAGCCTTGGTTCCTAACCAACGAAGTAGACGAATGTGAAAATTATTTTAGCAGAACACTGCTGGACCGGAAGAGTGACAAAAGAAATAACTGTGACTGGCTGCAAGCTAAAGAGAGCCACCCGGCCACAGTTTATATCCTGTTCTCAGACTTAAACCCCCTGGTTACTCTGGGTGGTAACAAAGAGAGTTCGCAGCAGCCGGAAGTCAGGCTCTGCCAGCTGAGCCACACAGATGTAAAGGATTACTTGGCACAGCCTGAGAAGATTACCTTGGTGTTCCTCGGAGTAGAACTTGAGATGAGAAAAGGATGGCATGATAACGCTGAGGGAGGGCCGGTGGAAGACCAGGATGGTTTGGTTGCTTGGTTTGCCCTCGGCATCGAACCTGTCGCCGCTGAAGAGTTTAAGCAAAGACACGAAAACTGTTATTTTCTTCACCCTCCGATGCCGGCTCTTCTGCAGTTGAAAGAAAAAGAAGCCGGTGAGGAGAGGAAATGCTCGCCCGTGTGGGTAACGGTCTGGCTTTAAATCGAGTTTGGAGGGTGTGTGTGTGTGTGTGTGTGTGTGTGTGTGTGTGTGTGTGTGTAAGAACAAGGTTAATAGTAGCTACTTCATAAAGCACGGTTGTAGGTATATAGGTAGAGTGGAGACGAGGATCCTTACTAAGAGTGGATCCGTTATTGTGTCCAGGAGAGGCAGCAGATCAGAATGGTAGTAATGAAGGTAGATTTTTCTCTTGCCATATTGAATATGAAACTGAAATGAAAAATAGCTTCTTTGAGTAGCTATCATAATCTAGCTGTGTGATATTTTTATTTGTGAGATTATTACAATAGTATTTATTGTACAAATATTGAATAATAAGGATTCATCATAAAGATAAATACTTCAGCCATTGCTTAAGCAGTAATTCAGAAGACAATGTGTGTGTTTAGTGTAGCTTCAAAGCATTGTATCTGCGTACTACTCCACTTTTGCATGGAAATAAACACTTCTTATGCTTCTTTTTAAAAAGGGGTTGTAGCTCAAGCACGATCTGTTCTCGCGTGGCATAGTCGATACAAGTTCTGCCCAACCTGTGGCAGCGCCACTAAAATCGAAGAAGGTGGCTATAAAAGAGTGTGCTTAAAAGAGAACTGTCCTAGTCTCCATGGCGTCCACAACACATCTTATCCAAGAGTTGGTAAGGCTTTTCTTCATTTGAAGCGGTCTCTCTCTCTCTCTCTCTCTCTCTCTCTCTCTCTCTCTCTGTGTGTGTGTGTGTGTGTGTGTGTGTGTGTGTGTGTGTGTGTGTGTGTGTGTGCAGGTGCCCCGTAGACCAGAAGAGAGTGTCATCCATTGAGCTGGAGTCATGGTTCATCGAGAAGCATCCAGTGTGGTGCCAGGCTAAGAACTCTGGTTCTTTCTAAGGGCTGCAAGCACTCTAACTGTTTGCTACCTCTGCAGCCCCGAGGGTTTGCTTTTGTTTTTTTATTTTTTGGGGGGTGGTGGTGGTGGTGTGGAATGTTGGTTTGGTTTGGTTTGTTGACAAGAAAATCTGAACTACATGGAATCTAGAGTCAGAAGATAGTCTGGTAAGTTTTGAAGAGGTAAAATGTTGACATTTTTACTAGATGTATGTCTTGATTATTGAGTAAAAGACTCCTTGTTCACCATTGGTCACGGCTGACTTCTAGCTTAATCAGTTCATGAATGTGCTGCGTTGGAAAGCGCCATTTCAAAGCCAGTCAGTGTGACTCCTTTCCACGCAGGAATCATAAAGTCTCCCATGGTTCAGATCCTGTTGGAGACATTACCCAGCCTTGGGCTTATTCTCTACTCCTAGTCACTGCTGTGTCTCTGCTCTAGCTGGAGAAATCCCATAGTCTAGCCCTTAAAATTGCAGGTGAAGTAGATCCACTCAGCAGATCCTGATGAAGTCTCCAAGGAGGAAGTGGGCGGCTTAATGACTATCTGATTTCCTTGCCAGGGAACACTGTGTCCTGGCCCTCTTCGGAATCTAGTGAGGAGGGTTTTTTTAAATTAATGACTTCTAGAGAGAGTAACTGTTTTCAAAGTGTTATTATTTTAATGATGCCAACCTAGAGAGCCACGTTCACCTTTAAAAGCATTTTAATGAGGGTTGGGATGAAAGGAGGAAATTTACTGTATTTTTTTGTTTTAGTAAAAATGTGAATTTTTTTCAGTGTCCATGATCTACTTTAACTTGTGCCTAGTATACCTTAAGTACAGAGTAAATGTTGCTAAGATTGGAATAGTGGATGGCAAAAGCATCTTCCCTTCACTTACTAAAAGTACGCTGTGCAGTTTCTCAGCTGTTTATCAAGCACATCAGAGCAGAAAGGAGGTGTCATACAAGTAGGAATCTTGTCCCTATAAGAATCGTGTCCCGGCACATTGTTATTGCATGATGAGTCCAGTTATATTTCCTGGTACCTGTGTGTCTGGTTTAATTGTTTGGGTTTTTTTTTTTTTTGTTTTGTTTTTTTTTTTTTTTTTTTTTCTATTTACAGATCCAGTAGTGATCATGCAGGTTATCCACCCGGACGGAACCAAATGTCTTCTAGGCAGGCAAAAGAGATTTCCTCCAGGCATGTTTACTTGTCTCGCTGGATTTATTGAACCTGGTAAGCCTTTTCTGAATCATTTTTCGAATTTTGAAACATCTCATATGAGATATAGTCCGTAATAAATGCCATGGTATAAAATGGAAGCATTTAAAACTTTTACTGCATTTTTCTTAATGTATGTACGTGTGTGTGTGTGTGTGTGTGTGTGTGTGTGTGTGTGTATACACATACATATGAGGGTGTGAATTGTTAAGAACATACAACAACTTTGTGAGTTTTCTCCTTCCAACCATGTGTGTCCCAGACTTAAGTTATCCATCTTGGTGGCAAGAACCTTTACCTGCTGAGCCACATGGCCAACCCCAAAATACTTACAACAGTATTTTAATCCAGAAATTTAAGCACTGCAACATTTCCAAATTTTAACAATTGAGGCAATTTGTTTGTTAAAGATTTAGCATTTGCTTTGTCTTGCCTTGCTTTTTGACCAGCAATCCAGGTGGCTTACACCACTCTTCAGTGCTGGATGTAAGGGCTATATGATTGTCCCCAATACCTGCATTAGCCTCCATACCTGCATTCACAAGTGTAAACATCCTCCCTGACCTTTCCCTGCAGTGACCATCAGCACCTTATAATACATATGTATAGATTGTCAACTTCACTAGCACACCAGTTCTGTAGGATAAAATGTTCTCTTTCATTCATTTTTACATGTCAGTCAGAACCCATGCCTCACATGTAATAGGATCATAGTAGGTATCCCAAAGCAAATGAGTGAGCCTGTATGGATTAGTAATGATTACTCTCAACAGACAGTTTTAGTCTCCACTGTTACAGTAGTAAATATGTATTCCTGGCACTCAGCTGGAAACACCTGTATTAAATATTCAGATCCTTCTACAACCTTGCAAATTGGGCACTGTTACATTACTTTCACAGGTATTATGACACAAGGGCTGTATAACTTGCCCCAAATTACAGCCATAGAAAAGGGCTTTAAACCCAGGCAGTTCCACTCCTGAGTCCTTGCTCCTAATCACCTTGTTGTGCTGGTAAGATGTGGACACAAAAAGTACCACTTCTAACAAAGAAATTATTTGGAATGGATATCTTCTGTGAAAGGGAAAGTCAGTCTTCCCCAATAGAGTGTCACTGAGTATATCAACCAGAAGTAGTTGGCCAACACAAATGTACGATGGTTGTTGGCATTTTGATGTTCTATCTGTGGCCACAGACTTCCAGATGCAACACTCTCCACTTCTAGACTTAGCATTCACTGAATGAGGCTCTTTCCAGAGTGATTTCAAAATGTCTGAAGCGTTTGGAGCTCACAGCATCCAAGTCATGTTCACCAGCCACTTGTTCTTTTGCCTTATCTGATTAGGGGAGACAATAGAAGATGCTGTGCGGAGAGAAGTAGAGGAGGAAAGCGGAGTCAAAGTTGGCCATGTTCAGTATGTCTCTTGTCAGCCATGGCCAATGCCCTCCTCCTTAATGATTGGTTGTTTAGCTGTGGCGGTGTCTACAGAAATTAAAGTTGACAAGAATGAGATAGAGGATGCCCGATGGTTCACTAGAGAACAGGTAAAGTTCAATTCAATTTCCTTATTCTATCGATTGTTCCCTGATAGTATTGGTTTGGGCATGAAGCAAGGAAGCAGATTTCAGCAAGCCGGATGAATGGCTGCAGCCATCTCATTATGAATGGATGATAATGTAATTGATAATTCCACATAGGAAACGTGCACTGCTGATGTGTCCTGTGTGCCATTTCAAGTTTCACAATTTGTTCTGGCTAACAAAGTATTTCTATTAGTTCAGACATATCAAATATTAATCTCAGATATTTACATTAAAGCAAATAACTCTCAACAAATCAGTAAAATTGCTTGAACTCTTTGAAGTTTTTATGTATTTTGAAAGATAGTGCTGAAGAATATAGCTTGCCAAGAGTTTGAGAACAGTATATAGTGGATCCCAGGCCAGCCTGGACAGCAGAGACTCCATCTTTTAAAATACGTATTTATTTCCATTTTTATTTTATATTATATTTGTATATATTATTCTTTTACATAATTATAATCATAAAATATTTGATATTTCTTATGTTTTATAAAATATTTTACTACTTTAATATAAAAATATTTTATATTTGTATTTTCTTTCCATGTATATAAAAAGTAGAAAGAAAAATATACTGAAGGACAAGACAGATGTCATTAAATGCATAAATATGTAATAATATATATATTCACAAGAACGTTTAAAAAATTACATCTTTAAGTAAAAGAGGCAAACTAATGGACTGATTTTGAGATTTGTTGTTGTTTTTGTGTTATTTTACGAAGTCCAAAATTTATATAGAAAAAAAGGACTCAATGTAATATTAATGATGTAGAATCATTTAAGGATTTGCCCTTATAAATTTTTTTTTTGTACTCACAAAAGAAATTAGATTGTTGTTTCAGAATTTTAGGAAAAGGAACCTATACCAAAAAGTTAACCTCCTTTGAAGTTAAGTGCAGAGCTTGTATTTTGCCTTTATTCGTGGCTTCCCTTTCATGTGCCCTTCTGGAATGTTTAAAAACTGAAACATTGACTCACTAAAGGCACTGGGAATGCTTTATTACCTGGTCCTCTAATGTGTTGTCTCTCGGTTACATTTTAGGTTGTGGATGTTCTTACCAAAGGGAAGCAGCAAGCATTCTTTGTACCACCAAGCCGAGCTATTGCACATCAGTTAATCAAACACTGGGTTGGAATGAACCCCAATCTGTAAATGAAAAATACTAGCATCTGCTGGAGTATTATTTAATTTTAATACTACTTATTTCTCAAATAAGATTAGATATATTTTTTGATCTTTAAAACCTATAACATAAAATTTGGAGGCCTCAAAAATATTTTAAATGTTCTTTCCATTATTAACTACAAAATTCACAGTTTTGTAAATTAGAAATGATGCCTCAACCTGTAAACATTTTTGTAATGCTTCACAATTTTATCTTGTAAAATGAACTGTATTTGTACAAAGAAAGATCATGTTGGAATGAAGCATGCTCTAGAAATGGGATGAACATAAATCCACCTCTTGCAGAGACTAGATTTCTTGTTGCAGAAATGCATCAAAATAACTTTAATAAAGTCTAAGCTTCAATATGTGTTTAATCATCTCATTACTATTATCCTGGCCTATTGTACTAGTGATAGTACTGTTACAGTATTACTTCTAGTTTAATCTGACTAGTATTCATAATGATTTTATTTTACCCATTACTGATCTCAGAATACAACAGTAATGGGTAGAGAACACATGCACACCAATGTTTTGGGGACCTCACTGTTAAACCCAAGCTAACTACTACATCTGTCTGTTTTACTTCTACTTAAAGTTGTTATTGTTTCAAGTGAAGATTCTCCAATTTTCCATTAGACTTTAACATTTCATAAAGGAATTCTTGAAGGCAGAAACTAAATCTCAAATATATTTGCATATTAAATAAAGTACTGGATTTATTTAATTTTGTGATGAGGGATGTATTATGTATTTCTTTTGGCAAGAAATATATATGTGTGTGTGTGTGTGTGTGTGTGTAATTCCCATCAGTATTCATTACACTGAAATATGATAGTTTGGCTTTGACCTTATTTCATCATATCCTAAGCACCCTTAATTAGTATACTTTAGAACTTAATTGCTTAGATCTGAGAGAAAGTAATTGCAATATTTCACAGTTTTATAATAGACAGGTGTATTTTACTTGGCTGTCTTGCAGTTGTTTTAACTGTATAAATGTACACATTTGACCTCTTAGCTATTCTATTCAAACTTGAAGAGACCTTAGGCACAATAAATATTGAACATAATGAATGTAACAGTTTGTAGCATGCAACTAAGAACTAGATTTTCCCTGTAATAGGAAACAGAAGCTACTCCCAACAACATCTATAGAATAGGGGCCTAGAAAAATGGCTCAGACATTAAGATCCTTGCTATGCAAGCATGAGGGCTCCTCTGCACCCATTTAAGGATCAGGGTTGGTTCAGAGACATAAATAGCTAACCCCAGATGTAAGAAGGCAGAGACGTGAGTATCCTGGGGGCTTCTTGTCTAGCCAGTCTAATGAATCAGTGAACTCGGTCAGACACTGTCTCAAACACAAGCTGAAGTCTGGGGATGACTCAGTGGATAAGAGCGCTCTCCATTCACTCTTGGGAAGGACCAGTTTGGTTCCCAAGGTCCTCCTTAGGCAGCTCACAGCTTCCTGCACCTACAGCTCCACAGCACTCAGGACTATCTTCTGGCCTCCTCAGGCACCCTCATGCATGCTTACATAAGACACAGACACACAAACAGAGTGACTGAAGACTTCAGTGACTTGCACCTCTACCCCTCCCCGCCTGCACACGACATAGGTTAAAAGGAGTGATGATAGGAAGAATTAACTTAGCTTATGAAATGTTGTCAGTTCAAATGTTTGATACAGTACTTAAGTTTTTTTTTTTTTTAAACCTAAATAACACTTTGTCTGAGAACGTACTTCACTAGTGAATACTGCTGCCCAGTTAATGAAAGCTTGTTACAATCAGAACTGTAGATCAAACCAAAACCTATACAGGACATTTTTATACATGGTAAGTTGGAGCTATGTAAGTACACTAAACTATATTTCACTAGACCCAAGATAAATGATTAATGGGTGTTTATTGGGGAACAGTTACACAGAACAATACAAAGAACCACGCTAGTGTTTCTCAGCCCTTCCTACTAGATCGGCTGACCCCCCCCCCCCGAAAGACCACACAAGGGAAAGCCACACCTCAAGCTTCCTTCTTTCTGGTTTCATCTGCCTGAGGTCACACCCATGGGTGTGTGGGTGTGTGCCCACCATTACTGCATTAGTTCACTGCAAGACTACAGCAAATATACTTGATTATTAATAAATACGATCGACTGAAGTTCACTTTTGTTCCAAATATGCTTCTTTAATGTTAAAAAGCAAAGTAAAATACAGATGCCAAAGCATATAGATTTAGTTTCCAGTTCCTTCTGTTGTTGTGGGAAAAAAATCAGTGAGTAAATTACTGTTTTTAATAATCATTCCTAAATTGTGACCTTGGGGAAGTGAGAAGAGATGTAAATGTAATGACTGCTAACCAGTTCTTGTAAGGAGTAGGGTTTTTTCCGCCCGCAGCTGGTCTTGTCCCGCGGCCGCACCAGCCCCAATTAACACACAGAGACTCTGTATTTGATATAATGCTGTTGGCCAGGTACTAGTTTCTTATCAGCTAGCTCTGTCTTAAGTATTAACCCATTTCTGTTGATCTATGTATTTCCACATGGTCTCATCTTTCCACTGGAGAACCGGCTGGCGTGCTGCTCTCTCCAGACTCTCCATCTTGACTCCTCCTTCCTACTTCCTCTTTCCTCCTTGTCTCCTAGTCCCACCTATCTTGCTTTCCTATTGGCCAACAGTGCTTTATTCATTAACCAGAATGAGAAACATATTTACAGAATGACATCTCCCATCATCTCCTCTTTTCTGTTTAAAATAAAAAGAAGGGTTTTAACCTTAACATAGCAAAATATATCACACAACAGTTATCAAGTAAGAATCACAGTTAATAATATTTAGTCCATTAACATTTAGCAAGATTTAAGAAAATATCCCATCATCTATTCCATCTTTGTGAGTCTAAAGTCCTATATGTATGTAACTTATCTTTAAGCCTAACTAAAGAAAACTATAACCATAACTATCTATCTTCAACTCCTTTAAAGACCACAGAAGGATAATGTATAAACTCTCGAAATGACAGAGACATCTCGTTACCTGGTCAGGTACCTGAAGTTCCTCTGTAATGTTTCATCTTCAGCCCATAGGCCATAGTGTGTCTGGGAGTTGTAAGTTTTTTCTCCCTAAATAAACATCTATTCGGCCTATTTGTTTATCCTGATACTTATTTAACTACAAAAAGTTCTAGAGGGACAAGTATCACCCAGATATCTGATGGAAATCAGTGTACCACTGCATTACAATATATTCTGTTTGTATATTGTGCTTTTAATGTTTTGATGAGTTTCTTTGACACAAATAGAAATTTTAGCCTTCATTGTGTGCATGAAAAATTGTATATTCCTTTCCTTTTATTATTCTTTGTTTTAATTTGATTTTTTGTTTTTGCACTGCAGTCTCACTGTATCCTAAGAAAGACTCAAAATAACAATCTTCAGGCTTCAGCCTCTAAAGTTCTTGGATTACAAGTGTGTCCAGCCTTACCTGATGAAAGAATTAAAGTTTCAATTTGGTGCAGGGGTGTTGCCTAGTGGTAATAATACTTCTGTAAGACCTTGAAGGCACTGGGTTTGAACCCAAGCATTTAAAAAAAAAAAGTCTACTTAAATCTTCAGTTTTGCAGTTTGCTGTAAAATGTACACACTTACGTCATCAATAATTAAAGTCAGTCTATCTTAATTCTTTGTCTACTATGGTCAGTGTTTGGGTTTTGTGAATTTTCACTTATAAGTTTGTGATGAATTGAAGACTCAGAGCCTGACCTGGCAAAGCAAGCCTATAATTCCTGATAATCAGGCCTGAGGCTGGAGGATTGCAAAATCAAGACCTGCCTGAATTAGAGTGACACTTAAAGCACACTGGACAACTTAGTGAAACCCTGTCTCAAAATAAGACATAAGAAAATTGGTGCGGAACTAGCTCAGTGGTAAAACACTCACAGAGCAGCGTGTGCTTCAATCCACAGCAACCTAGACACAGAGAGCAGTAAAATCTCGCATTGATGTGAAAACTAGTCAGCCTATTCACGATCCAGACAGCTGTGAGTAAAGAGAAAGCAGAATGCAACATTGAGACCTCGAGACAAAGAAAGCAATGAACAGTGAGACCTGAGATAGAAGGAAGAAGCAGCTTTGAAGCCACATATGAAGGACATATGACAGCTGGACTGTGTGGAGGAGGCAGAGGCTCTATGTAATGCTGGCAGAAAGTCACTGAGTAGGCAAGAACTGCAGTAATTGTGAAAATAAATACCAAAAGCAACCTTCCCTCTTCTATACCATTTGTTGTATTCTTCCTTCTCCAAATACTAAGGTAGAAATCAAAACAGCTTCTAAAATAAACATTGATCTCTTTTTTTTGTTTCGAAATCATTTTATGGTTTCATATACATCTATGTATATGATGATTTTTAGCCGTTTCTGTCCCCGTTTCTCTCTTTCACCACCCCCATCTGTAACAAATCCTCCTCCTCTTTTCCAAGTGTATGTTGTATGTGACCCATGAGTTTAATTAGAGTGGCTCGGATGATTCTGAGTGGGCGGTTCTTTACCGCAGTGTGGGCATCATATTGGTGACTACAGCACTGAAGAAAATGATACTCCCTGCCCCCTACCCATCAACCCTCTCACCCCCAGCTAACATTAACTGCCAGTAGTCCCTCCAGGAGAGGTGAAGTGGGCCTCCGGCCCACTCCCCATCTATGCTGCAATGTTGACTAACTTTTGTATGGAGTTTTGTCATATATAACAGATTTTCACATAATTTTTTGTGGTTATTTAAATATAAATGGTCTAAGACGATATGGGAAAATGTAATCAGCACCCTGAATTCCTGATTGGAAAGCATTTATTGTCAGCTGTAGATTAAGCATCCAGGGCTGGAGGGATAGCTCAGCCATTAAAGGCTAGGCTCACAACCAAAAGTATATATATATATATAAGCATCTAGACATGTTAACTGGGCCAGCATGTAGGTTACTTGTTCTGTTCATGCAACTGAAGGAACATACAGCTATTCCTTGGTAGAAGTAACACTGTAGGCTTTTTCTGTTCCTTCCAGATTGTATTTCACATTATTTTTATGTACTTATTTTGGTTTTGCGAGATAGGGTTTCTCTGTATTGCTTTGGAGCCTATACTGGAACTAGCTCTGATGACAAGGCTGGCCTTGAACTCACAGAGATCCACCTGTCTCTGTCTCCCAAGTGCTGGGACTAAAGGCATGTACCACCAATACCCAGCGTATTTCACATTGTATTGCTCAGGGGACCCAAAGAAACAATCAATGGGCATGTCTCCCTTTCACAAATCCCATGATAGTAGTACTCTCCAGAATATTGGGGGGGGGGGGTGAGTAAGAATTTTTACCATAAAATTTAAGTTAAAGAAACTAAACCTATCTGCTAATAAATGTTTCTTATTAAATAATTTCTTTTCTTTTTCTTTTTTTCCTTCTAAATAGAAGTCTGATAGGAAACCTGTAGCTGAAGGAATAAAATCTGTCCTGCCTTTCCCTGGTGGCTCAAGGGAGTTATACTTGTCCAACTAACTGTCTCGGTCCTTATGGATTAACCTTCTTCTAAGCACTTAGCCTGTGAAGTGGCTTCAATTTCAGGATGACTTTCCTGCCAGGAGTAGAAATTAAATAGTACTCTCACCTATATTAGAGAAGAGAACAGACAACTGATGGAAGGCAGTAGTTTTTGTTGTTGTTTTGTTTTCTTTCTCTTTAACCTGCCCATTTCACTCTAATCTGACATTGTAGTCTGTTAGAACAGTGTGGCATCCTGCCTTATAAATATTTAATTACTCGGGTGGCAGAGAGCTGACGTCATCTTTGTCGGTGGAGACAACAGGTGATTTAAATGCCATCTACCTAGCAGCTGTGCTGCAATTTCTTAGTTAGGTTTGCTTGTGTTTGTTGAACAGGCTTGAAGATTCTAGTAAGTACCAGTTCTTTTGTTTGTTTGTTTTAGTGTTTTTTCTTTTCAAAAAATTGTGAACATACTATTTAAAAGATGCCCCAAAGACATGTGCAAATTGAAACCGCAGGGGATTAATTGGTCCTAACCACTTTCATCCCCTCTCCATCATAAGTAAGGGACTCTGCTGTAAGTGTAACCATAAATGTGAAGCCAATGGGAATTTAGTGTGCTGTGCAATGTTGAGAAAATACATATCTGGAAACCTCAAAAGTTATCAAGGCTGTAATGCTATCTAATAATCACTTCCAATGAGACCCTTAATTTGTTTTGTACATATAAACCAGGTTTGCCATACTAATCTCTTAAGTTCCTAGCACTCTTCTATCATTAGTATTTTGCATTTTGATACTCTAGCCTTGAGGGTCAGGAGAAGCCACACTTCAGACCAGTTCTGTTGTTATTTAGAGTAAGACATCCAAACACCGTACTGTAGCCACACCTTTAACCTTTAGGTCTTATGACTTGCTGAGGACAGTTTTGAACTTTCTGCCCTTGAGCCAAGGTGTAGTGCAGCCATCTTTACGGGCACCTACAAATTCCCCCTTCTTAATATAATTAAATAATACCTGTGCTTCTGCTACAGAACAGATAGCTATGCCCGTCTTAGGTTGTCTGCTTGCACCTTCCAATCTTACCGGTGATGGGAACACACATTCCGTCATGCATGGCCTGTCTTAGGTTGCCTGGAGGCAAAAAGATCTTACCCACTGGTGATACTAGTCTCTGTAGTAAATATCATTAGGGGATAGTGAATATAGCTCCATGCCATGCATCTCTGAGTCAACTTTTCATCGAAAGTTCACAAGCAAGCTCGATAACATGTATGTTTTTGTGGCTACAGCACAAGGAGAGGATGAATCGAGATAAAATGGCCTTTTAAAATTGTTCTGGGATGTCCTGAGAGGCTTTAGCTATACCAAAATCTAAATCTGCCTATCCAATTACATCGTATCTAATGATTCATAAGCATCATGTGTAATTCCTAACAGAATGAGCTCTGACTTTTTCATCCATAAACAGTTACCTAGTATAGCAACATTAATGATTCCAGAACGAATTATTAACAATTGACACATAATTGACTAAATTACAATTCTCATAATTTCAATTCAACCAAAGGACAATAAAATATTCTCATGGTGAATGAAGTATGAATAACTCCACAATTCTGAACCTTTTCTTTTTCCCTCTGTAAAGTCCAATGCACTGCTGCTTGTAATTTCCAAAGATAAATTTGAGATACCACAGTCCTTGAGCACTAAATATTAACTACAAAACTTTTGTCCATTGCCTGCTCAAACACAGAAGAGGGGCTTTAGCCACACATCACCTTCATGATAGTGTTCAGTTGTCCTAGATGAGTCCTTTTTTCCCCAAAGGGAAAAACTGGCAAAACAAGTTTTGTGTCCAAGAAGTGGTGCAGCTGTTAAAGGTTCAGTCCTTGGCTGGATTCCAGGATGAAAACTTACATCCAGGTCTGGGAAATCGATGCAGCAGGCTTGTTGAGAAACTGGAAATCTCTAACTAAACTGGAAATCTCTAATCTCCTTTCTTGAACCGATTGTTTTTTGTTTTCTTTCTCAGACTGTAAAGTTAATGACATCAGGGGGTCAGCAGCTCAGGTTCAGCGGGTGTCACTCAAACTGGCTTAGACAGGACCCTGCAGTTTCAGATCTGGTTTTCCTCTGCTGCACACATCTCACCAAACAGTCTGGCAGCCACAGGGCCTCATTTTATTCCTGTGAGAAAACACAAACATGCTCTCCATCCCATATTAGGACAGGACTGGGTCCTTTCCATTGTCTGGTGCATGGATCTTTCCATATGCTTGGGCCAAAGTTGCACCATCTGTCCAAAGCAGATTGCTCACAGCCATCCACATTCAAAAATTTTAAAGAGTGCATGATTTAATGAATCATGTGGGGGCACAACTCCTCTCTCCTTACTTTTAGAAGTTGTGTTTTCAAGGAGCCGTGATCATGCTCCACAAGTCCTTGACCTTGAGAGTTGTAAAGAATGCCTGTTCTGTGTTCAATTTTCCATTGGGCACAGAATTGCTGA